AAAATTTGTAGTCAGACTTGTCTTTATTGACTTTATTTTAGTTTTTGTACACAAAGAAAAATCATGTTCATATCCATCATGAACAAAAACTTAAAAAGGCAGAACTAGAAGACATGTGTCCTTCACCAAAGCAAAGCTGTGCTAAAGGTTCCAAACATTTCAATTTTTAAAATAAATATTTTCATTTTCCGATGTCTACTTTCATGTCTTCAGAGTGTCACAGGAAACTGAAGCTATCATGAATTACAATTTTGTTTAGAGTCCCAGCTCACTGTGTTTGGTAACTTGCCATACCATATCCAGCTTGGTTAGGAGGAGGTATTACAGGGGGAGGAGCTTGTCCTTGGGGAGGCTGAGCACCAAATCCACCCATCCAAGCAGCAGAAGGTGATTGACTTGGAAGGAAAAAAAAAAATCTTCAGCAAACACAAAGAAAAAGTTACCTATACATTTATACAAAAATCAAGCAGACCCTAATCATAGAATAGACAATGACAAATTAACATACCTACAGTAACAGAGAGTAAAGAAATGATATATATCCACACATGTAGAAAATCTATTTCAAGTTCTTCAATTTCTGTTAACCACAACTTAACACAATGACTTTTCTGAAGAGTATCTCAAAACTGACTTTTTAAAAAATGACAGATGATTCAACACCCATCATATACTGCACACATGGTTTATCAATTTAAAAGAAATTTTAAAAACACAAGTTCATACTGGAAAGAGACGGAAGAAGGAACCAGTGAAAATAAAGGTCTGAGCTGGCCTAGGGGAAAAACACGTGTAAGGGACCAACCCATTCTATCAACAAAGGAAGAAAAGCACGCTACTTTGTAAGACATTAATCTCTGTGACTTCTCACACAGCCAACAGGTATAAATCATTAAATTTCTGAGCATATCTAGACAAAGATCTTTTCCATGCAAAAATAAACACGTAGATAAAATAGCATATTAGAAATGTAGGGAAAAAATGTAAATCAAATTTTACCAACTGCTTATAGAGATAGTAGGACACACCAAATGTTACCCCAACCTCCCTTTTCACCTAGGTAATAGAAAGCAAATTTTTAGCATCATAAATCACTTTTCATAAGGTTTCTACAATGCTTATAATGCCAAATAGTTCAATGTATTTAATTTAAATAAATTCTCCCTAAGAAAACACATTTTCTAGTTTCTTTTGTCAGAACCACATCTATTTCTATATTGGAAAAACCCAAACTTACTCTACTCCAAATCCTTGTTGATTCCACGGTTGCCCGTATACTCCATAAGGTGGCACTTGCCACCCATTTGCCATATACTGTCCATACTGTTGTGGGTTTCCATAAACTTGGCTCCACTGGCCCCACTGACTATAGTCAACCTAGGAAAAAGCAAATTAATATTTTAGGGAACAAGTAAGAAACACAGTATTTGAAGAAAGTGGGAGACAAGGAAGAGAAAAACTAAGTAAGCACCCTTATGTGAATAGGACTCTGTTATTTATCATTGTCTAAGTTTATTGGGGTGGTGACACCTGTGAAAAGAAAGTATTAAGATTCAGTTAATACCGCAAAATAATCACTTTTGAAATAGCATTAATAAAATCAACTGAAAGCAGCTATATGCTTTACTTTTTTGTTTATTTTACAGTTTCTAAAGCTTTTATGTAGATATGTAAGATGGAAACCTGAAAAAGTGCTATGAAGAATCGAATTACCTGTTGGAAGTTTTTAGTCATATCAGGAGATTCTTTACCCCAATAGCATTTAACAACATGTCCTTCAATCGTAGTACCATTCACCGAAACAATGGCATGGGCTGCACTTTCATGGGTTGAAAATCTGAGAGGACGATAAAAAGGTTTCTTGTCTTTGATTTTTTTAAAAACTTAACATAGTAAATAATACAGAAACACATTAGTTTATAACTGTCAACTTGGTATTTTCCTAAAGTACATCATGTAGGTAAAGTTCGACATTGCAAAGAAGTAATAAAATAACCAACTCTGATACCTGAGGGAATCAAATAAGATGACAAAGGAATGGATCGAATGTAAGGGTGATAATACTACAGGTAGAATTTTACCTGACAAATGAATAGCCCTTCTCTGGAAAAACTCTTATTTCCATAATTTGTCCAAATGGTGAGAATGTCTGTCTCATAAGCTGATCTGAAAAACAAAAACATACAAATAAAATACTTAAGGCTGTTTATCATGAAACTGATACTAACAGTGAGGAAGCTCCAGAGACCAGACACCCAAACGCCACACCTGTCAGCCCAGAAGCAATTCCTCCACAGTACACAGTGCAGTTTTTTGGACTTGACTGGTTTACTACATCTTCAAATCTCAACTGCTTAGTGTTATCTACAAGCAGAAAATAAAAAAAACATCGACAGTTATACAGTATAAAACTGATTACTACAATACTATTAAGATATGCCTCACTGGGGGAGAAAATAGAATTTTTTTCTTGATGCTATGATCTGATTTATAAAATCAGCTGATTCACAGCTCCAAATATACTTATATCGAAGCCCAATTCTTTCTTTTATTTTTATTTACTTTTTAATTTTTTTTTGAGGAAGATTAGCCCTGAGCTCACATCTGCCATCAATCCTCCTCTTTTTGCTGAGGAAGATTGGCCCAGAGCTAACATCCTTGCCCATCTTCTGCTACTTTATGTGGGACACCTGCCACAGGATGCCTTGATAAGGAGTGTGTAGGTCAACACCCGGGATCTGGAACCAGCAAACCCAAGGCCACCAAAGTAGAGCGTGTGAACTTAACCACTGCGCCAGCAGGCCGGCTCCCCAATTACTTTTAGATAATTAAATTCAAGATGAAATGAATCATGCAATGCTAATAAAATTTAAACTTTAAGAAATTAAGACTACACTAACACACGATTTTGTGAAGTACTCATAATTTGAACGTATACACTAGACATAACTTACTTTCTTGTGTACTTTTAGGTGCAGGTGGTTTGCGTGTGGCCCAATTGGTTCTGATTTGACGACCACCCAACCACTGACCTCCCATATGCACAATTGCATTTTCTGCATCCTATGGAGAAAAAAGAGAGAGAAAGAGCAATTATAAACACAGGAAACAGTGATACATAAGACCTAGTAAAATGAAATAAAATGCTGGCACTGCTGTATCCAATCAATCTTATCAGTAAATGAATTCACTAAGCATTCTAAACAAACAAAACTGAACTTAACATCACAAAGAAAATGCTTTGAACTTGAGGGATCATAAAAGCTATTTTTATTTACAGATTTCAATACCAGGACAGCGCTTAAGCATCAAAGAAAATTTATCATAATTCAAATACGCAAGGAAAAAATCACAATCCTACTGATTAAAAGAAAGCAGAAAATTCCACAAGACAAAGTTGTCTTCAAATATCTTACTTTTACAGTTGATCTGTGATGTAACTTTTACTGAAGAATATATAAAAACTCTAATATTAAGGTCTAAATCACCTACCCCTAAAAATCTATATTCTAGTAGCAATGGATTATTACTATGACACAAGAATAACAACTCATTTTAAGATGGAAGACTTCTGCATTATGATTCAGAATGCTATAAAATTGCTGTCAATAAAAAATGAGTTTAGATTATCAGAATTAATGCGAATTTACAATGAAGCTAAGCAAAGAGTAGACTCCTGTCCTTTATCTTACTGCTTCAATAAAATGTAGGTAATTTACATTGCTGAAACTGTGCTAAATGCTAATACCAAAGCTCATTTTGTTATCTGACGTTACAGTTAATGCAAATGCTTCGCTATTTTGGTACCTCTTTCTTAAAGAATACATGCAAAAACCAAGATGAATTGCTTATATTTTCATTTACATAATTTGTTGTAGTCATTAACATCCCAGCTATAAAAATACGGATAATTAAAAAATTAAAACTAAGATTTTCATGGTTAAGACTAAATATAATTTAACTTCTCTCCAAATTTGGAGATTAGCTCATTAGCTTGAGCTTTACTTATACATCTTACCTTCACCAAAGCATAAATGCAACTTTAATACTCTTCCTTATAATCAGCCTAACTTTTCCCAGCTATTTCCAAGCTCGTGAAAAAAGAATGGATTATATTCAAACAGACAAAATTACATATAAGTTTTGTTCACAGTTAACATCCAAGAGTATTCTTCAAGTTTCAGATTAATGACTAAATTTTGTATTAAATTTGAGAAGAACGTACCAGTTTGTTATAAAAAGATACAAAACCATAGCCTTTGGATTTTCCAGTTGCCATGTCTTTAACTACTCGGGCATCCCTGTGAAAAGAAGCACAGCTAAATGAGGGAAGTAAGAGTCATCCTCAAAATAAAAACTAAAAGGAACCACACACACTGTATTGTGAGCATTTTTTTAAATAAAATTCCAGTTAGCCCTAATTAACTACAGCCATTCCTGAACTCTCCCTAACGCTTCTTTACCTGTTAGAAAAAAGCAGTAGGACAAAAACATGTAATAAACATGCAACCTAATCAAATAGCCTGTACTTTCTAAACTAAATGCTCAAATTTGAAGATTAATAGGAACAATATTTTCCTTTTCTAATATTCTATTGGCTAGTGTCCTCTAAGGTTTACTGGTTCTATAAATTACTGTAACAATGCTAACTACTTTACCATGCAATCTCTAAATAGTTAAATGTCTTCTGCCTAGTGATACAAAATATATGAAATATTAAAAAATTGAAAAAGAGGAAAAAATAGGAATTAAAAAGGCATACATGGCCTGTTAACAGATTTCTTTATTTTTCTTGGTCAATTCTCTACCATCATTTTGGAGTTTGGGCAGCTGTAAATTTTGAAAAATTGACATTTTCAGAAATTTAAGAAAGGAGAATAAAAAACTAACAACAATGCTAAGCACACCAGTACGAAAACAACAAATTTACACAGAAATTTTAGTGAGTAAGTTAAAATGATTGGAAATATAGAACTCCACTGAATATAGAATGTTAAAATGTAAATACTAAAATATGTATATATAAATAATGTATAATAAGAATAAATAGAAATGAGAAAAAAATCTACAACTGAGTTCCAGTGTGCACAGTTCCTTGCAGTTAGCCTTCAAGATCCTGTCCATTCTTATGAGCAATTCTGCAAAATAACCAGAATGCTATTACTTTTAATTGTGACTTGGACTTTAGAAAAACTGCAGGTCTCAGGTATAAATAAAGATTGAAAAACAGCAACCTGTATTATTTTTTATACTGATTTTTAAAACAGTACTACTTACCACATTTAGAGATTAAAAAGCAAAGCAAATACCAAAATAGAAAATTAAGAATTAAATCTTTCTTTCAAATAAATTAAATCTACAGAACAACAAATTGAATAGAGAAAAATATTGTTGTTCTTAGTTGAAACATATTCCTGTAAAGTAGTACTAAAACATTTAACTCAAATCTACAGGAAATAAATACATAAAATCAAACTGATTTTAATCAGAAAGATAAATTGTGATAAACATTTTATAGAACTTGTAACCACTTTTAATTTTTCCATATATTTGATCAAGTAACATACAGTGAAATTAGAGCATAAACTTTGTTAAAAATCAAACCACATTTGGCCTTAACTAGCAGATTCAAATGACACTAACAACAAAACGTCTACCGATTAATCCCACATTTATGGTTCACATACTGAAACATTTTAATACTATAAGAATATTACTTTTCAGCTAAAATATCAAAACACATTTCTCATTACAATTAAACATGTACATTTCCAATTTAACCACAATATACCCAAGGATTTACCTACTTTCCCCCATTTATAAACTCCTCCTATAAAAGTTTAATACACAGTATAAATCACATTTATTTTTAACTCATTATCTTTAACCACCAAATTTTTAAAACATTTGACAAAAAGCTGGACTTTATAATAGGTTTTACTACCCAAACATTTGCTTCAGAGATAACAAACAGAATCACTTAAAATTTTTTAACATATTATACACAAGATTAGATGAAAACAAGACCCCAAAACACTGAAATGACATTAACATTTTCAACAACATCTACTAATCAAAAAAATAAACCAAACAAATAAACAACAAAAAAAATCACACTAACTAGGGAAAGAAAATCTTAATTCTGATACAAGTTAATCATATACAATTTTGCCTATCACTATTGAGTATAGTATTGATTATGATACTTACGATATTTTACCAAAGGGGGCAAATGCTGATTTAATATCTTCTGTTGTTATTTCTGGACTCAAATCCCCAACAAACACATGGAAGTGATCTGAAATCAAAGCATTTGGTAATCAAATCCTCAGGAAGTCAGCTCCTAACCCTTTTTCAGGCAACACTAAGGGAAGAGACCCTGTTCATGTTGGAGGCGCTGCCAGGATCACTCAGAACTCTTCCACGTTACAACGCAGCGGTAGTACTTACTGGAAGTATCTTTTTTCTGGCTACTTGGTGTTGTTGCCCAGTTTACTTTGACCTCCTAAAAATAAAGATTATATTTAATGAAATTATTAGGCATGTCATTATGAATCATAACACTTACCACTTATTAAATCACTTATCAAGCAGGATTATCTTTGAAAAAGTACTAGGCTGAATAAAGCAAAAACATCACTTGGCAGAGCTGCATATTTGCTTAAAAACTTGCTAAGAAAGAAAACCACTAATCCGACATGCAAATACATATACTCATAAGGTGCCATCATTCTTTGATCTTACCTTTCCCAAAATTTTTCTCCCATTCATAGCAGCTAATGCAGCAGCTGCATCTCTGTGTTCATAAAATTCCACAAAGCAATATGGGTCATTGCTTGTATGCTGCAAAACAGAAAATCCAACAGAAGAGTTGACCCTTCTGCTATCGGGTTGCTGAGAAGAAAATCCAGGAAAAAACATTACTGACAGCTAGGAATGTACAAGGTGAGATTGCATAAGCTTATGAAAGCCTAACACTTTAAAAATAAGATTTACAGCTACACCTGACTGTGCACCTCAGAATACTGATGTACTCAAACAGAACTCAAAAACAGTATAGAATCATGACTATCAGTATTAAATCAAAACATAGAATTCTGGCAAATTATGTTAAAGATAAAACAGAAGTTTACAGTAGACCAAACAAAACCTCGAGTTCAGATTTGAGAGATAAGGACCACTCCTTACCACTGCTCTTCTCTCCCAACATTATTTTCAAAAGGATGAATTCTATTTATGCATCATAATCCTTCATAAACTGTATCCCATGACTATAAAAAAATACAGAAATGAACCAACTTTACAAACTTTACTCCTCATTGAAAAAAGGATTAGTACTACATATGATGAAGCAAGACTATGTATTTCTTTTCTGGGTAAGGAAGGAATGAGAATAAAAACAGAAAAATTTCAGATTTATAACCAGCTATTGAAACGAATTCCCTATCTTTCAAAATACTCTAATGCACTGGAGATTCTATATACTTTGAATTTGGTCTTCCAAAGACCAGAAAAGTACACTAGTGATCAAGAAGAGAATTTCTGAAAATGTGTCTGAATAAAATATTTCAGCACAAAGCTACAATTTTATATCACAAAAACACCAATATAAGAAATCTTTACTACTATAATCTAAACCACCATGCCTGACAGTAGTTGGCCAATGGGTATTTCTAAAGACAATGAGAAAGCAAGTAGTACTACCTAAGTTATAGCAAGCATATCACCTAACAACCAAAACGGAAAAGAATTTTATAAAATTACAATCTATACTGAATAGCTACACAACTGTACAAATATATTTTTCATGTAAAGTCAAAAACATTCATCACTGTTCAATGTGAAATGTCCTAAAAAAAGAATATTTAAAGTGTGGAATTCTAGTTGCGCTTACAAGGGATAAAAATACCAGATAAAATAAAGATCTTTTCAACAACCACTGTTTTTCATTCCAGCAAAGTTTTAGAAGAAAAATCCAAAGTAAGACGTCTAAAACAATAGTGGTAAAGCAACCAGAAGGCATTTCCTTGAGGGAAAAAAAAAGTGTGATCATTAATAGTAACAAGAAAACTATGGGCTCTCGTACAAAATTCTATTGTCGTAGCCATATGAACACTCTTCTTATGAGGTAGAGAAAGGAAATGGGAGAAAAGACTCCAAATAAAAATAGGTACTTAAATTTCTTCTTGTAAAAGAGTTCAACTTACCAGTGACATTCACTGAAGAAAGGAGTTAAAGATAAATAAGCTAAAACTGTGCTACTCAATTATTCCTTTTACTCCTACCTCTTCTGCCCTGATGGTCTCTAAGGAAAACACTGATAATTGTAGCAAAATATACAGGGGTGCAATGGTAGATCTATGAAAACCGGTTTTAGTAAACTAGTCTACTCATGTATACAGACTTCAAGTTTATGTACCTACTAGTACGCCAGATCCTATTCAATGCATGTAGTTCATGTACACAGACACACACACACACATTTATATATTCACATCACACTGCATTTCATCTAAGACACCAATGATTTTTGTCACATTCCAACTGCCAGAAATGTTAAAATTTTTCTAATGTTTGCCTTTGAATCGATATATACATGTTATTATAATATATAGGGAAAGCTAGAATCTAAAGTAAACAATATCTAAAGTAAAAAACCATACGACAGGGAAAAAAGGATTTTTCATATACTGAAATGAAATTTATGAAAGGAAAATAAATGCCTGTATAGTCTGTACTGGAGTTCATGCCCTTTGGAAACTTCCCATGTATCTACCACCACCAAGTGACACTCTGAAAATCAACTGTGTCCTTACCTTAGTGTTGTCACCAATTTTTGTTGGATGACATAAATGTCAAGACAGAGAAATACGAGATTTTAAACTATTTACAAGTTCAAATGTAGGAGTTGTAGAATATGGATAAATTATGAAAATTCATTTCAAATCCCTCTACCTCTCAAACAGCTGATTGTACACACAGGTTTTTAAAAAATACTATTAAAATAAATCTTTATCAAAAATTTTCTAGTGACTCTCTCTATTTTCTCACATCCCATTTTTTCCTAAACCCACTCCAGTCAGCTGCCAACCCAATCAGGCCCCTGAAAATTTGTATTGAGCTCACCAACAACCTCCTTGCCACCTCTGTGATCCCTCTTCTGTCCTCATCTTGACTTTCAAGCAGAATTCAAAACAGTTGACAATTCTCCTCCTCCTCTAAATATTCTCCTTTAGATTCCACCCTACTCTCTTGGTTTTCCTGTTTCCTCATTGGAAGATCTTTCAAAAGATAATTCTTCCTCCTTAACTCAAACTCTAAATGTCACTCTAAGTGTGGAGATGCTCCAAGGTTCAGAACTAGGCCCCTCTATTCTTCTCTCTCAGCATTCTCTCTAGATCTCACCTAGTCTCATGGCTTCAAGTACCACTGCAAGCTGGTATCATTAGCACTGATCTCTCTAGAGTTCCAAACTAGTTTATCCCGACTGCCTCCATACAATGTCCATTTAGATGTCTAATGTTAAATTTAACATTGCCAAAACACAACTCCTGATTCCCATCAATCCCCCCATCCATCCTGGATGCCCATTTTAGCAAATAAATAGCATTATCATCCACACAATTGCAAACAAGAATTTCAGGGTCCTTCCTGATGTCTTCCTTTCCTTTATGTCCCAGAGCCAATCCAGTCCTATTGATTCTACCTCCAAAATATATCCCAAATTTATCTACCTCTATTTCTACGCTACCACTCTAAAGAACAGACCCCCATCGTGTCTCACCTAGACTAATGAAATAAATCCAGCTGGCTTCCCTCCTTCCATTCTTGCCCTCTATAATCCATTCTCCATGCAAAAGTCATTTTCCAAATAGAGTCATCTTAAAAACACAAATCAGAGTACCTAATTACCCTGCTTAAAACCCCACTGCAACCAGACTAAAATCCAAACTCCGTCGTGGCCTGTACTGCCCTAGGTAATTCCAAACCTTGCCTGCCTACCTCTTTAGATTCATTTCCCACCACTCCCCTCCACTCACCAGGCTCCAGCCATCCTGGGTTTTGCTTCCTCAAATACACCAAGCTCATTAGCAACTCAAGGCCTTTTTATTTGGGGTTCCCTCTGCCTCCAGCTCTTAACATAGATGGCACTATCTTGTTATTCCTCTCTTTCAGCTCGAAAAGACGACATCTTCCTTCACCACCTAACCTAAATAGCACCAAACCTCCAACCATCATCACAGAACTGTCTTATTCTCATCATAGCTCTCATTCCTACCTGGAATTATCTTGTTTATTTGTTTATTAATAATACACTCACTAATACGTAAACTCACAGGTACCTCGTTTGTCTGGCTCTCCATTATATCCCCAGTGTTTTAAATAGTGCCTAGCACAAAGTAAATTTCTGATTAATGAAAGAACGAATGAATAAATAATCAAAGACAAGAAGGAAAGAAGAGAGAATATACCAGAATAGAATGAATATCATTACTTAGGAAAAATCAAAAGGCTAATTTGCTTAACAGACTTTTAAAAGCTCCCCTCTGTCTCAGGTTATAACACAAACCCCTTAACAGAGCATGTGGCCCCTGCTGAACACTTCTGCCTCATCTCCTGGCATCTCTTATGACTAATCCTATTCCAAACTCCAACCATGCTATGGTTTCTATCTTTCCCTCTCTTTCTCTCTCAAGCACTCCTGCTCTCTCTGTCTACCAGACTGGAGCAACATTCTTCTATCTGCAATCCCTTCTTCCTTGAATTTCTTTCTATCCAGTTTCCATTACTACCCTTTTTGGTTTCAGCCTAGACACTAACTCCTCTAAGAAGCCTCCCCCGACCTAAGATTGTACTGGACCAATGTGCTCCCACAGTATTTGAAGCTGTGATTCCGCAGCATTTATTATCCTATATCGTTAGTGCCTATTAACTCCTCTGTCTCCCTTATTAGACTGTAAAATTCTATGGGGCCAAGAAGTGTCCTACCCACCACTGTATCCCTAGCACTTACCGTAGTATCTCGTACACAGTAAACAGTCCAAAAAAATGTGTTGATGAATAAACAAAAAGGAAGAAAACAAACTGAAACACAAGTCACTGGGCACTGCTACACAGTGTTAACCAGGAAAGTATAAAAAGTAAGTTTTCTTTGAAAAAAGGAAAACAAAATTATTACTCTAACAATTTAAATTCCTATCTACATAAAGCTGCTCAGTCATTAGCACTTAGGAAAAACACACAAGATGCTTGGTGCTGCACTATGCACATAATAATCTAATGTTCTCTTACATACAACAATTCCTAACCTTTAAATATATACTATCTCAACAGGGAACATTCTTAGTAGAATTGTACGAAATATCACCTAGTTTTTCAACACTCTGAGATAAGCTCTAACAACTTTCTACAAGCAGAATCACTTGAAGATAACTACATCACGAAGAATGACCATTTGAGACTAAGAGCACAGAAACTTTGTCTTCTCAAATAAAACTCCATACTAAACCGTTTGTCAGCCAAATCAAAGTAATAAGTCAACAAAACAAACATGAATCTCTCCATCAGAATAACTTGAGGCTTAAAATGATATTTAAAATTGATACTAATAAACTCATGTATCTCAAAATATTAAACATCACGCTGTCAGCAGGTGGAACTGGGAAGACCTTACCTCTGTTATCATTTTACAGCTTTTACAGGGTCCAATCTGACTGAATAACTGAAGTATAAGGACTTCTGTCACATCTCTGGAGAGGTTACCTACGTATCTGTACAAGAAGGGAAAAAACAACATTATCAGCAATTTTCCTTCAGCTTCTGGTTTTAACACGTTATCATTTAACTCATCACCTTTTATTTCATATTAACTTCCTGTCTTCAATAAAATTTTTCCAATTAAGCCTGATCCTAAGAAAGTAAGATTAACCCTTACTTAGGAAAGCAACAATTGTTCTTAGGCCGCTAAAATACCACTTCATCAGACTTCATAAACAACAAACCAACGTGACCTTGCATACCTCAAAAGCATACTATTGTGTATCCTATATACCATTTTTTTCATCTTGTTAGAATAAGAATTTAAACCAGCCTCAAGATAATTCCAATTTCTAGACGGGAAACACAATTTAAAATAATGTATAACATACACACAAATAATACCACAAATATTCACTAAAACACCTGATCAAAAAGAATCACAGAGATATATTATATCTAATATAGATATAAGGTGAGTTTCTCTTAGACGCTCAACCAAAGCAACTACATGAACAAAGAACAGAATTAAAGTCATAGCAAAACGCACAGAGATTGGAGGGTTTTGTTTTGTCTTGCTAAATGAGACTGTTATTGACGATGTGTCTCCACTGTTTTGTTTCAGGAGAGCAGGGCAAAATTATAAAAGTTCCTAGGTCTAAAATGCATCAGAATCAACAAAATGTATCTTTATGTAGACAACAAATGTAGATTTCCTTAGAAATTCAGAGTAAATTTAAGATAAATCCAGGTATACTTTTGACTATGCATATTCAAAGATTCAGGATTTTTTTCTTTAATTACGAATTATATTGTAGTTAAATTACAAATATGTATTTTATATAAGAAATTTAAAATACAAACAAAAAAAAGAAAAAAAAAAGGAACACCACTCCCTAGAAATAGTCATCTTGATTTCTCTTGTACCCCAGATTTATCTTAATTTACCTTAATAAACTGCCAAACTTTTAAGTCTTTCTGGTACTCAGTGTATAATTCCTAAAATTCACATCTGTTATGAACAATCTCATAAACCAAACAATATCTGTAAAATTAACATAGTTTCTTCTGGAAAGTAAAAGGACGTAGTTTTATTTTCCTAACTATAATATATAACATCTGGAAACTGAGTACTGAGACCAAAATAAGCCTTGCATCTATGGTTACCATATTAAATATATAACGGCTTTATGATGGAACACTCTGAAAGAGAAAAACAGACTGAGAAAGGTAAGGTTAAGTGTAAAAAAAAAAAAAAAATTATCTGATTAAGAATGAGTAGCAATTTTCCAGTTCAGCTAAGAATGTCACTGGAACAGGCACTAACAGTAATTTTAGTTTACACGCTCTAGAACTGAAACACAAGTGCAATGTTACTTAAACAGAAGACTAAACCCGTGACAAATTGGTTTAGGTCCACTATGCCATCTTTTCCTTATACTTAAAGTAGAGCAGACCCATCAGCAGGCCATGAAGTGACACACTTTTTCCAGCAGTAGTGAAAGGTTACAGGATTATGAGCTGGCCAGACAACTGCCCGTCCCTTTTTAACTCATAGGGGTTTCGAGCCTGTATCCATGGAATAATTTATTTTTGTATAAGGTAGACCTATCTATAAGGAAAATGAACAAGTTACCTGGTCTCCTAAGTGTTATACCCATCTAACCTAAAGTGCTAGTTAGCTCATTTCTAAGAGAATACAAGAAGAGCGGCTAAAACGGATTTTCATGCACTGAAGCTAACTAGTAACAAAGTTAAAACAGAATTATCATTTTAATATAACAAATCTTAAATGATTTACATAGTTTTAAATTTGTATTACTATTTAAACATTAATTTGTTCAGGAAAAACTGCAAGGGCATTAACTACCTTCCAAATCTAAGAGTCACAATTAAAGCTGTTACTGTTTCATAAGATTTTTATTCCAAGTCAACCTATTTCCAATCTGTTATAGATTCTGAAGAATTTCTAGAGGCACATGTAGTTATATTAATTTACATTTCAAGCACTGATGCCAAAGAGCAAAATGTTACTCTAAGTTTAGAATGTCATGAAACACTTAGAGAAAAATCCAGTTTTAAGGTTTCCTATGTTTCAAATATCTCCACTGAAACTTCAGTGGTAAACAGCCAACTAAACTCCAAAAACTAACATAAAAAAGGCCTTAAATAATAACACGAAGAACATCTTAATTTACCATGATAAAAAGGATATAATTTCACCTAATTTTACCCAAATCACAGATTGCCTTTTCCTTTACTCAGAGTTCTATAATTCATTCATTTACATACACCTTCATTCATAACCATAAATATTTTATAGCTTTAAAATATTGTACTTTACAACTTAAGTACCTCTACATTATCATAAAATATGTCCCAAATTCTGTCCCAAAATAAATACTAACAAAAATATTTAAGACAAATGTTTAACACTCGATCTGGTAAGAACAGCTCTTGGTAGTACGCTGAAATGATATCTGTTTTCTTTCTAAGTTATAGTTTCTACACTTCACTTTCTTTCTGCTCTGGTTATGAAATAGCCAACATATTCTAAAGTTCCAAGTGTGTAAACATAAAATTTCTATTTGAAGAACATATACAAAATAACAGAAAAAGACAAATGGCTCAAACTCTTGTATTGGGAGGTCAATTCAAAGAGGAAACACTTAGGAAATTCCAAAACGATTTTTCACTCAAGTAAAAAAGGGCATACCTTAGGTCTATTTTGTCTTTTAAGAACAAGAACTGTAGGAACTAAAGCATTAAAAATGGAAAATGATGCCTTTATCTCTAGTATCAGGGTTAAAATCCAAATTGAGACTAGAAACTTGGCAGTTTCACAGTGAGCAAAAGTTCACATTGCCAAACTACTTCCTATGTCCAACTGGACAGAATTTTAAGTTAAGAACATCATGCCTTTCAGAAGACTAATCACACTTTTTCAACACTGAATGCATTCTCACCCTGAAAAGAGGAGCCCCACCCCAGCTGAAATTGCCAGCACTTGTGTTACAACAAGATACTATGGCTAAATTTCTATGAAAGTAACATTTTTGCTTTTGTTCTTGACAAGTTCCTATATAAGAGAAGATTTTGCAACAATATCCTTCAATGGGCCTTTAACGAACTACTCAATTTGTCAGTATTTCATTCTAGGAAGGAGGCAGATCAGAAGAAAGGTGCAGGAGATACAAGTCAATCGACCAACTACATGAGGGATATCGACACACATACACTTTAAAGAAAACAGAAAATATGATTAAATTGAACGAGGGGCATAATTGCAGACACAATGTAACCAAATCCATGTATGTATAGCTAGTAAATTTTATAATGGGATTTAATAGTATTTTCTTCTGCTATTGCCCTTAGATGTTCAGATTATACTCTATATCACTGGCTTTTTTCCCTCTTTTGAGCGAGCCTCCATCAGGAAAAAAGAACAGCCTTAAACATGGTATTGCATAACATGGTATAATTCCAGATCCACAATTCCTACTCATTTTGGTGCATCAGACAGATGGAAAAAATGAATTAAACTACAATAGAACAGCATTATAATTTAATGTCGTGTTACAGATTCCGATAAACCAAGGATCAATCACTGCACTCAAAGCCACCCACAACACAAGGCTGAAACCTGGTCCTATAAGGCGGGTGTCAGACAGTCCACTTCCAACACCAGTATTATACCGCATGATCTTGTTTATTTATTTATTTTTTTTAGATCACAAGATACCCAATACACATTACCCCAAAATAAATGTTAAATGAGAACAAAGAATATCAAAAAACAGACCTTTAAAGCAACTGTATGACAAATAAACTTTAGGTTCAACAACAAATTCTATACCACTTTAAATACCATCAAATAAATTAGTAATACTGTAGGTAATGAATATTTAAAGACCTACCTAGGCTATAAACACCATATTGTTTTCTGATGATAGAACCATATGTCTTAGCTTGTGTGTGTCTGCAGGAAAAAAACCTCACTAGTAACACACAGGCATTTTAAGGAAACAGTTTAAGATAAGCTTTGTTAAGAGCACATTCTTTTAAAACATACTAACCACTTGAAAACCTAATCCACAGATCACAGTGTAAAATAAAAGAAGGACCTCCATAAATAAACAAAACAAAACCCTACTAGATATCAACCTCTAAAGTCATGTTCAAAGTTTTCATCGTGTTACTTGTATCTAAAAGAACCCTTTGAGGAGAAATATGTAAAACGAACACACACACAAAAACTAATATGCATTATTTTCGTTAAAATCTGACAAAAATCCCAATTGTGAAACATTTGCTTTTATCTCAAAATTTTACATTTGAAAAGTTTAAAAAATAAATAAAAATCAACAGACAGCACCACATCTGACAATCATGTCTGCCTATAATTTTAAACCAATCAAGACTTTTAAAAAACGGACTTAATACTAATTTAAAGAAAAGAAGTATAATCAGTGTAAAACATTCGATACCTCTTACGTTCCAGGCAGTGAACTAAGTGCTGCAGGGGTAAGACTTAAGAAGATGCAGCAGTCCTTGTCTACAAAAAAAACAAAACCCTTCCCATGGAGAAGAGTGGGAGAAGGAAAAAGAAGACAGAATAGTAAACGAGTACTGACATACGGGTACAAGAAGCTCAAGATATTTCTTTACTCATATGTATACACGTCACATTTTTCGATAACTGTAAACATAGACAACTTAAGTGTGTTCCAGAGAAAGAACAGGAGACGGGAGGAGGTAAAGGTAAGAAATATGTGACAAAGTTAACTTATTAGTCTACCGGAGAAGGTCTAAGGTAGGACAGAGATGAAGACAAGGTAGATGCAAAGATAGTTATACGGATTAAAGGTACTGAAACAGCATGTTATTTAGCACTGCAAAACCAGGAATTCCTCCTCATAAGGAACAGATAGGTACAGTCAACGAGAAATGTGCCATAAGAATTTACCAATTATTCAGTAGCTATTATGATCAATGATAACATTTCAGATTCTTAGATACAATGTAACTTTTATCTTTGTTAAGCACATGCTAGCTAGGCACTAAATCCAGCTTTCCCAGATGCTTCCATCAAAGTACACATCACTAACTAAATACCAAGTCTTGGCTTCAACAGATGTTCAAGTCTGTCCCAATTCTCTCTTTTCTGGGGAAAGAAGGCAGAAATGGAAGACAGCATAAAACATGAATATAAAAGTTCTACTAAGTAGGCTTTTCCTTCAAGCATTTGATGTGCTTAAATTGGCCTCGAATTCTCAAAACAGGATGACAAATACTTTAGTGAGACATTAGAGAAATACGAATAAAGAGTGCAAGGCCCTCCCCCCAAAAAAGCAAAACAAAAAACCAAACATATATCAATAGTGAATACAGATATCTGTTTTTACTGAGCGGACTTTCTTTGGTAGGAGTAAAGAGATGAGAAGCTAGTCAAATTCCCTTAGTATCCACGCACATTTATCTATCCCCCCAAAAGTAATTTCCCCATCAGATAGCAGAGCCAAGTGAACTATGATCATATCAATACCCGGCAGAGGCAAGAGAAAACACAGCAGCAATCTGACTCCGTGTACTCGAGGTACGTGTGCTGAGCTTCCAGAGGCTAGGAAAACCGAGGTGCCCAACTTTAAACATTTATTAGAAATTACTCAGACTTAAAAAAAAATGCAGGAAAAAGAAAGGAGTGCCACACTATCCGGAAAGGAATGCAAATGCTGAGTCATCACTCTTCATTAGGAAAGGAAGGAAAGTCGAAAAAGCGGTGGGAAGATGGAATTCATTCATTAGATGGAGCTTCAGGTAAAAAGCAACAGCAAGATAGAAGAAAAAGCGCTCAAAAGACACACATCGAACAGCGAATAAAGACATCATTTTATCCAACTCCGAAGGTCTCGAAGCACAGACAGATTAGGAAGGGGTAACACCAAAAGAGCAAAAGCAGTTTAACAACTGGTTGTCAGTCTAGCGTAGGTAGCGCTCAAAGTAAACTTCGTTATCCAAGAAGGGAAAGACGCTCCGGCAGCAAGAGGCATCCCATTTGCACTTCAAAAGTAGCGGGCGCTTGGCGAGTGTTTCTGACAGCGTGGGCGGGGGCACGTGGGGCAGAAAGAGTAGGGGCTGGAGTGGCCGTAGAGCGTCCGGCTTCCTCGGAGAGCTCAGCTTGGGAGAAGAGCCGGGAGCGACTGGAGCTGGGGACGTGGAGGGCGTGAGTGCTAATTCCACGGGACCCGCAAGGGATGCGGCTGCGGTCCCACCCCCAGACCCACCCCCACCAGGCCCTGCCCCCGTGGGGACCCGCAGCTCTCGGCCCAGCCCAGGGCCCCCAAAGCAGAGGGAGAGCAGGAGCTCTCCCGGGCCTGACAGCCTCTGCGGTGCAGAAACCCGGCCTGGGAAGGGTGTGCAAAGAAGGGCGCGAGAGGGGAAGGTCGAAACAAGCCCCAGACCCCAGGAAGTGACTGTGTTTGGGGGAAGGGAGGGCTTCCTTCCCAAGGAAAAGGGGACAGAGGAGGAATGCACTTCGCGTCCGCGCCACCGCGGCCAGGGAGCCGCCGAGAGTCCCGGCTTCGGCCCCGTTCTCCTGCTCCCTCCCTCAGCGTCCCGCGGCGCCCGGGCCTCTCGGCGCCTGGCACCCCCCGTCTCGGGTACTCACAGAGTCCGGGGCTGCCCGTCGTCTTCCATCATGGTGGGTGCGACGGAGCGATCCCGGGACAAGGGGGAGGGCAGGGCTGGGGAGGGGAGGGGGTGGGGAGGAAGGGGAGGGGGGCTCCGGGCACCGGCTGGGGACAGAGGAAAAGGCACCGAACCCTGCTCTCGGGCTCTCTCCCCCCAGCCCGCTCCGGACACTGCGCTCCAACCAGGAGGAGCAGGAGGAGGAGGAGGATGAACAAAATGGCCGCCGCCACCAGCCAGGCAGGAAACGGGGCAGAGCGCAGGCGCGGCCCGCCAGGTCACCCCTCAGGCCAGCCGCGACGGCCTGCAAAGGGGACAAGTGAGGGGCGAGAAAAACGGGTCGCCGAGAAAACCCTGTGTCCGGTCACGACGGACCACGTTGTCGCTGTGCGCCAGCTGGCAGGCCGAAGCCCAACCAGCTCAAGAAGAGATCGGGTAAAAAGAGAACCGCCGTGCAGCCGAAGTCTCTGGGAATTGTGGTCCTGGAAGTGAAAGAGGGAAACACTTCTCCAGCGGACTTCTGGGAACTGTAGTCCAAAGGAGACGGCCAAAGGAGACGGCCGGCGCCCGCGCCGCGCTGGGACGCGAAGACGAGACTTGTGGGTAGTGTAGTCGTACGTGAGGACGTGCGGCGACCAGGAAGTCGGCGTGCTGGGAGGGGAGGGGGAGAATAAAAGCGACGTTAAAAGGCGGGGAAACGAAGTGGGAGAAAACACTGTCCGGGAAGTAAACTACAGGTCCCAGGGTGCCTCGCGCTGGGGGCTGTCCTAGGAGTGCTCCAGGCATTTTAAGGCTGTTTAGTTGGCTCATCCTGAGCTGCTGCTCCGCCTCCGACTGGCCCCAGAGCGGTTTCTTCAACTGCGGCTAAGGCTGTGTTCTGACTCCGCTTGGTGTCCCAGCCCGCAGGCCTTTCTGGTCCTCCTCTACTAATCAAAACAACCGGCCCGCGGTCATCAACCGCCGCCCCGCGCGACGGGCCGGAGGAGTTGGTGGGACCTGGGGCCGGCGGTGAGCTGGGAGCTGCGCTCGCCACGGCCCTTGGGGTTTCCCAGGGGTCGGCTGAGTCCTCTGGGCGCGTTTTCCCGCAAATAGGTATTCTCACCCTAGGTAGCCTGCTTGTAGATGAACAAGTTTTAGAGGTTTCCCCATCCATGGTCTCATCGAATAAGGGAGTAAGAAGGGCAGTTCTTCATTAAAATCGAGTCATTGTACGGTGCGGTGATGATGCCCTCCAAAGCCCTTATTTAATTATTAGAGTGAAAAAAAATCTTTGGGCAGAGACTTAAGGTTTTGTTTACGGACATCCATCGTGTGGACGGGGAAAGCGGTCTTGCTTGAAAATGGGGAAAGCCGTGTTCAAACTGGCTCTGTTGCCCTGTGGAATGTTTTCTCACTGAGGACAGTTCTCGGTGCGCTTCCCCCCCCCGCCCCCCCCCCCCCCCCCCCGCACCTAAGCGTCTTCAAGAGAACGTCATTGAGTTCGTCCCCGCTCTTGTAGTTTAGTGAAGGGTGGTGTTGGGGAAAGATTTTTCAGCCTGTTGCCCGAGCTTAAGGGTCCCAGTTAGTGCCTTCAGAGTTGGTTCTAGAAACGTTACTGAGGACCGGACTCTGCAGGCGGCTGTGCTGTTGGTACCACTGAATCCTAATCCTCTAAGGGTGGTCAACTGCAGCAAAAGCGTTGTAATGTTGATTTGAGGAGGTGACGGAGATTTCAACCTGGAAGTCTCCATAGAGAACATGACAAGGGACTTGAGCCTCATAGGAGTCAGTGGGAACAGCAAAAGGGCACGGAGGTCAGGATCCTTGCTAAAGTATATAGTAGTTTTTTGGGGAGGGGGGAGCAGAGAGTGCGTGGAGTAGGGGTCCTGAGAGCTCAGAGAGGTGGGCAGGGGCTTTATAGAACCATATTGTTAAGGACTTAGACAAAGCTGAGGGGTTGAGCTTTGGCTTCGAGACAGTGAGGAGTCATTCAAGGGTTTAAATTTTTTTGTTAATAGGACCTAGGTATACAATTGGAATTGTCATAATCCAGTTCATCATTGATCCATGCCTGGCCCCACTGTATTAGTTTCCTATTGCTGCTGTAACACATTTAGTGGCTTAAAACAATGGGAATTTATTATCTTGCAGTTCTAGAGATCAGTTTTCCTGGGCTAAAATCAAGGTGTTGGCAGGGCTAGTTCCTTCTAAAGTCTAGGGGATAATGGATTCCTTACCTTTTCCAGTTTCTAGAGATTGCCTGCCTTCCTTGGCTTTTGGTCCCATCTACCATCTTCAAAAACAGCTAGCATCTTCTTTGCTCTCTGACCTGTTTCTGTCCTCACACCTCTTTCTGACTGGTCTTCCTGCCTCCCTCTTACACTTACAAGGACCCTTTGTGATTACATTAGGCCAGGATAATCTCCCCATCTCAAGACTCTCAAGTCACATCGGCTAAGTCCCTTTTAACATAAGGTAACATAATCAATAGTTCTGAGGATTAGGACATCGACATCTTTGGTAGGCCATTATTCAGCCTACCACACCCATCTTTATTAAGTTACTTTTTAGCCCTGAGCTAACATCTGTGCCTATCTCCCTGTATTTTATATGTGGGACGCCTGCCACAGCACAGCTTGATAGTGTGTAGGTCCGTGCCTGGGATCTGAACCAACGGGGCTGCCAAAGCAGAGCACATGAACTTGAGCATTCCACCACCAGGCCAGCCCCTAATTTAGTTACTTGTAATAATGTAAGAATAGCTGTAAACTCTCCATCCTAAGAAAAGTTACAATGACAGAAATTTACAATTGGATGTATAGTTTGCCTCCCCCACACGCTAACTCATCCTCCTGTCTCCCCTCGCCTTGGGTAACCATCATCCTGAATCCTGTCTTTACCATTTCTTGTTTTCCTTTTTACAAAGTTTTATTCCATATATACATATATATACCTAAAAAGCGTGTGTGTATAAACATATATTTTTTAAATTGTTTTTAAATGTAATAAAAAGAGTATGTCCAGTACACACCTATTAGAATAGCTAAAATCCAAAACGCTCCAACACCAAATGCTGATGAGCATGCACAGCAGCAGCAACTCTCATTCATTGCTGATGGGAGTGCAAAATGGTGCAGTCACTTTGGAAGACATTTTGGCAGTTTCTTACAAAACTAAACTCCTAGGTATTTACCGAAATAAGTTGAAAACTCATGTTCACACAAAAACCTGCACATGAGTGTTTACAGCTGCTTTATTCATAATTGCCAAAAGTTGGAAGCGAACAGGATGTCTTTCATTAAGTGAATGAATAAACTGTAGTACATCCAGACAATGAAATATTATTCAGTGACAGAAAGCCACAAAAAGACATGGAGCAATCTTAAATGGATATTGCTAAGTGAAAGAAGCCAGTCTGAAAAGGCTACAAACTGTATGATGCCGACTATGTGACATTCTGGAAAGGCAAAACTATAGGGGCAGTAGAAAGATGAATGGTTGCCCCGGGGATGGGGGGAGATGACCAGGTGGAACACAGAGCATTTTCACAGTGGTGAAACTATTCTGTATGGTGGATCCCCTAGAGCTGTGCAACTCAAACAGCAAATCCAAATGTAAACTGTGGACTTCAGTTAATAATAATAATGTTTCAATATTTAATTGCAGTTGGTTCATCGATTGCAACAAATGTACCACATAAATGCAAGATGGTAATAATACTGGAAACTGTATTCCTGAAACTGCTCTGAAAAATAAAGTCTGTTACAAAGGAAAAAAATATGCATTTGTATTCTTTTGAGACTTTTTTCCGCCGAATGTAACATGGGTAAGACTCAGCCATATTTTATGTATTTACTTCATTCATTTCGCTGTTGTATGTCTGATTTCTCATTGATGGACATTTGGGTTGCTTCCAGGTTTTTACTGTTATGAACAGTGCTGCTATGAACATTCTCATACATGTCTCCTATTATAGATGTGCGAGAGCTTTCTTTAGTCTATTTAGGTTTTTACCTAAAAGAAGAATTGTTGGGTCACAGGGTATATGAATATCCAATTTTAAAAGATAATGTGAAATATTTTTTCCAAAGTGAATATGCAGATTTGCACTCCTGTGAGCATTGTGTAGGAGGTCTTATGAATGGATCCACAGTCTATTCCACACTTGCTTTTATCAGACTGTTTACATTTTTATCAGTTGAAGTGTTGGCTCAGTATGTTTTTAATTTGCATTTACCTAAACAATAAGATTGAACATCTCTTCATATTTATTAGCCATGTGTGTTTCCTCTTCTGAAAAATGGCTGTCGATATCTTTTGCCTATTTTTCTATTATGTTATATGTGCTTTTCTGGTTGATTTTTAGGAATTCTTATGCCAATCCTTTCTCAGTTATCTATACTGAAAATATCTTCTCCAAGTTTGTAACTTGTTTCTCTCTTTTTAAAAATGCCTTTAATGAACACAATTCTTAATTTTAAAGTGGTCAAATCTATTTTTGGATGTGTGTGTGCGT